GGTGTCTGACTGACACGACACGACACGACTCGACCCCTGTGTCTGACTGAGTAGAGGTGAGACACGACACGACACGACCCTTCTGTCTGACTGACATGTCACGACATGACGCGACATGACATGACACGACCCTTCTGTCTGACTGACATGTCACGACATGACGCGACATGACATGACACGACCCTTCTGTCTGACTGACATGTCACGACATGACGCGACATGACATGACACGACCCTTCTGTCTGACTGACATGTCACGACATGACGCGACATGACATGACACGACCCTTCTGTCTGACTGACATGTCACGACATGACGCGACACGACATGACACGACCCCTGTGTCTGACTGACACGACACGACATGACACGACCCCTCTGTCTGACTGAGTAGAACTGAGACACGACACGACACAACATGACACGACCCTTCTGTCTGACTGACATGTCACGACATGACGCGACATGACATGACACGACCCTTCTGTCTGACTGACATGTCACGACATGACGCGACATGACATGACACGACCCTTCTGTCTGACTGACATGTCACGACATGACGCGACACGACATGACACGACCCCTGTGTCTGACTGACACGACACGACATGACACGACCCCTCTGTCTGACTGAGTAGAACTGAGACACGACACGACACGACCCTTCTGTCTGACTGACATGTCACGACATGACGCGACACGACATGACACGACCCCTCTGTCTGACTGAGTAGAACTGAGACACGACACGACACGACCCTTCTGTCTGACTGACATGTCACGACATGACGCGACACGACATGACACGACCCCTCTGTCTGACTGAGTAGAACTGAGACACGACACGACACGACCCTTCTGTCTGACTGACATGTCACGACATGACGCGACACGACATGACACGACCCTTCTGTCTGACTGAGTAGAGGTGAGACACGACACGACATGACACGACCCCTGTGCCTGACTGACATGACACGACATGACGCGACACGACATGACACGAACCCTCTGTCTGACTGAGTAGAACTGAGACACGACACGACACGACACGACCCCGGTGTCTGACTGACACGACACGACACGACTCGACCCCTGTGTCTGACTGAGTAGAGGTGAGACACGACACGACACGGCAGCGCGAAGCGGACAGTCAGCGGCGGCGGCCGTCGCGTGCCCGGCTGCCTGCGCTCTCGTGCCTCGAGCGCCAGAAACCAAACTACGCCAGATACTGTACGCGTGCTTCGTCTTTAAGGAGTTATATTGCAAACAGTTCCTCACTGTTACGGGCAACGCTGGGTTTTTTGTTTTTTTTTTTTGCCCAAGCCTTGCTGGTTACAAACCTTGGCACGCGTGCCTCCTCGTGTTTAATCAATTCAGAGGACGTTTTGGAGAGTTAGTTCCTTCGGGAATACAAATTCAGGGTCCAGAATATACTTTAAAAAAATCTCTTGGTGCTGTGCAAAGATATCAAATATATCTTGTAAAGCTGCATTGATCCTTCTTCCAAGAAGGATAAAATAAGATATTTTAGCATTTTTTAAAAAGCAATAAGATTTTTATGTGCCAAGATAGTAATTTTACTTTCTGTAGGTTTTTTTTATGAGTCATCTCTTTAGAGCAGGACTTCAGTTGAGTTAATTGAGCTGTGTAATGCTGCAACACAGAGGAAGTGGTCTTCCCCTTCAGGGCATCTGAAAATAACTGGATGATACTGGGAGAGTATCTGTTCCCAGTCTTCTTTAAATCAAGTAATTTTAATGTATTTGTGGGAATTCATCTGTATATTAAGTTCTGTTTGTTATAGCCATGTTTCTATGAAAACAAGTAGCTTAAAAGCAGTTCCAAAAGATGTAAGGCTTGATCTCAGCTCTTAGTAAACAGAAAACTTCTGATATTTTATTTGGGGTAATTAAAATAATAGCAGTGAATTTAGTTTCAGTTTTAGTTTTTCAAAAAAAAAATTGATGGGAACAATGTTTGTTTGGCACATAGTTATGTTTAGAGTTTTCTGTCTAAAGCACACTCGTCTTCATTTTCCTATAGCTCTGAAAAAAAGGTGAGAGGATGCCACAATGTTGGCCTCAGATTGGAGAAGCCGTGGCCACGTAGTCATTGTGAGCTACCATAAGTGCCAACAGCCACCAAGAGGGGCAGGCCTGCGGCTCCCCTCGTTCTGGTCCCAGCGAGCTCGATTAGGGTCCTTTTCAGCTGAAAACTAACCGGTCTTCCTTCTCCTGAGATGAGTTTTTAGTGATCCAGTTCACTGTGCAGCTGCATGGGCACTACCTGTACCCGCTTCTTCCTGCCCCTTCCCTTGTGCGTAGAGCAGGACGCTTTGTGCTGGAAGCGCTAGCAAACGCCAGATGAAAGTAGCCACGTAACTCTAGCCTAAGGGTATCAACGGGGAAAGGGAACTACAAAAGAGAAAACGAAGACTTTAGCTCTGATCTGCTCTCTCATTCAGTTAACTTGAAAAAGGCCATTAACATGGAAGAAACAGATTGTTTTGCTTTAACTAACCTCTTGCCTATAGGCTTGCATCTGAATTGCAAAATATATTCCAACCTGAATAGACCTGTGGTATCTTTACAGTTTTTATAGTGTAGATAACACTATTTTTTAATGGCATTTTCACAGATGAGCTGAGTTCCTGGATCCAGCAGTCTTTTAAGCATTATGTTACGCAAGAAGCTAAGCAACACTTTAGTGACTATGACAAAGATGGTGATGGATTAGTGTCTTGGAAGGAGTATAATATGCAAATGTATGATCGTGTAATTGATTTTGATGAGAACACTGTCCTGGAGGATCAAGAAGAAGAATCTTTTCGACAGGTAAAATGTTTCAGCATCAGTTTCTGTAAGCTGTTGCCAAAAGGTAACAGTGTTTGCTTATCCTGGTGGAACAAGATGGGTAGAGAAGCCATAGCAGCTGGCACATATTTTAACACTTTCTCCTGTCTGAGATACGGGAGAAAGCAGACGAAAGTCACAGAGTATTAAAGCTGCTGCCAACACAACAAAGACAGAACAAAATTATACCTCCTGAGTGTATTTTGCTAGCTGAGTAGAATAAAAGTATATTGGCAGTGTTATCACAGAACGCAGTCTCTAGCAATCATTGTAACACAAGTTGGACATGTACTAGATTAGGCCCGTGGCCTAACCTGCCAGCGTGCTGCCTGTGGTAAGGACCAGTACCGCTGGCTTTGAAGACGGAGGAAACCTGTGTAATGTTTAGCCCCTTTCTTGCCCTTTTCTATCCACTTTGTCAGTAATTTCTCAAGTACCCAATGTGTGGCGTCAGTATTGTCTGCTTTTAAATTTTTCTGACCACAGATACCGTAAAACCTTTTAATAGGAAGAAATAGCATTTTGTAAACATTTTTTGCTATCAACATGCAACTTAAATGCTAGATGAAACTGGACGTACCAACAATAGGAAGTTATGGATTAATCTCATATATGAAAGTAAATGCTGAAGAGTAGAAAGGAAAGAGGCAGGAGAATCAGGGAGGGAAGATATACCAAGAATCTCCTGCAGCGAGACTTGTTTCCTTTGAAATTATGCATTTATAAGTACGTGCAAAAAAATTACCCCCAAAATAGTGAATTCTTAGACTCCTCTGGGAAGGGTTGCTTTGGCTTCTGCTTTTAATTAGTAGTAGTAGTCTTAAATGCAAGGTTTTGCCAAAAGTGAAGCTGGAATAGGCAATAGTCGGTGAGTCTTACGTGCTGAACAAACAAACTCTAAAGCTTTAGAGGTCACTTAGCTGCATAATCACATAGATTTTAAACAAAACAACTTGAAATGGAACTACCAGTCAAAATACTGATCCCATGTTTCAAATGATACCAGCATGTATATGTTGAGATAGAACTCTATTATTTACTTTTTTGGTACATTTGATTTATGCTATGCTTTGTGCAGATTGCTTGCTAGGTTGTCCTGCTTGCTGATTTCTTCAACATATGTTGGAAAGAGCAAAATTAGTAAAATTGGACAAGCATCATGTGTCAGCCATCTTCAGCATTTTCCTTAATTTTGGAAAGCAGTGATCCTGCTCTAGTTAAAATTGAAAAGTTCGACTATGGTATTGATTTAGAATTGATATCCAGTAAAAGTATGAATTTACTGGAAGGTGGCAGTCTTGTTCACCACTTCTCAGAAAAACACTGGGAGGCAGACTTTCTTCTTCGCTAGTTATGGTTTATTTTGCAGTCTAATATTCTCTGCAGTCCATCCTTCTGAATTGCCTTCCTGTGTAACTCTTAGCTAAGGTCAACTTTTCTTAAAAAGTACATTTAATTATGGTAGAGAATAGTTGAGACCTTATAATTGTACTTGTTATATGGATTAGATTAGCCTTGCTTTGAGAGAAGTGTCAAGAAATTGGATATAAACCAAGAACTACAATTCGGAATGGTCATATTTAAAGTATTTGTTATTTCTAATGGTTTCCACTTCCTTATCCAGGTCCAAATTGCACTGATAGCACAGCACACTTAATCATCCCAAAACGGTTATAGCTCACGTCACCTGCACTTGGAGTGGAGATTCGTTATCAGTGCTCTGAGTCTTTATTTTTCCTTACGAAACTGAACAGAAGGAACCAGGGAAAAAAGTAAAAATTTTTTGCACATTTAGAATACAAAAAACAGGGAGGGCAAGAAATTCACAAATAAGAACTTGCCTGTTTATGGTGGTATTATTTCTTTTAAAAGGACATGCAAATATTTATACCTTTGACAGGCTAGAGAAGTGACTTTTCTTTGAAGTATGTTCAGATGTAATAGATGCGAGCCTTGTATTAAAAGAATCTGTGTAATCCTTTAGTACTAGGGAATATAGATCCAGAAGGTTAAATGTCCTTAAAATGTAAATTTTGGAATTTGTGATTGCTACCATAATAATTACTGTACTGTACTGTACTAGGTAATTTGGGATTAATTTTACATCGTTAGTCATGTACTCAAATTTGTATTTGAATTTGGATTGGTGACTTTGAGATAAGGAAGCACGTATAAAGACAAGACTTCTTGGTCTTTGCTTTCTCTCCGTTTTGTTTTTTTTTTTTTTTTTGAAGCCTTGGCTAAGAGTGTTTTAAATGTCTCCTTACATTGAAAAGAAGGAAGTTTTAATGTGAGTCTTAGGATAAAATTACCTCAATTAAAAGTGCTGCACTCTTTGCTCTGAATGAGCTTTTTACTGAAAATATAACATCAGTATAATATGAGCAGGCAATGTGAAACAATGTAGTACTCTAATGAGTTTCCTAGCTGTATGCCAGTTATTGTTATGTTTTTTTTTTTCCTTTTCATTAAGTTCTCTAACTAAATCTATTTTATAAGCTTCATTTAAAGGAGAAAAAGCGTTTTGAAAAAGCTAACAGAGATGATGTTCCTGATCTAAATGTGGATGAATTTGTTGCTTTTGAACATCCTGAAGAAGCTGAGTACATGACGGTAAGATCTGGAGGATATTTTTATCAGCCCATGTATACAGAGGCAACACCTTTTTAATGCATGTCTACCGCAGGAAGTGTGCTTTTGAGCAGCTATGTATATTTTGCTCTTGCAGAACAAATTAAAATTCACATACTACATTGTGGATTCAGTACTGAAGTTCAGGAGCTGGAGCAGTAGTTTAGTGCTTTTCTTTCAATTGTATTTCAAGAACTGGGTTTGCACAACTATCTTAAGCTTTTGGGATTGGACTGCGTAGCTGTCTCTAAACTCGGTTACGTTAAAAGTACAGCAGTAAGATTTCAGTTTGAGGAAGTTTCATGTCAAGTTTAGAGTGCAATTCTAGTTAGGGGGACTTATAAGGAAGATTTCTGGATGCAGGAAAAGGTTAAGCACCAGTTATTCTCACCTTTCTTAAAGAGAAACAGTAGTCACTTTTCTGACCAAAAAAAGCATTCAAACTCATCTAAAGCTTGGAATTTTGACTGTGCTATGGTTTTGACTGTGTTTTCGGGATTGGTATTTTAGCCAGGAGCACTTTGTCATTGGTCATACGTTTCATCACTGCTGTGACTGTTGCTGTCGTTCCAGCTGAGTGCTTGCTCAGTACTGACGGTCGACCCCCAGTTAATAGTACGCTGCAGCTTTTCTGCACCAGAGCCTTCAGGTTTGGCTATCTGATGCTGTGGAGCCAACTGCCAGGAGGTGCCCCATGCAAACACAGCCTCTGTTTGTATTGACATAACTGTTGATTATGGACAAACAAGAAAAGATAAAACCAGAAAAACAGACACATGGGCTTCACTGGAAAACAGTATCCAGCGTTTTTCCTAAAGGTTTTATAAAGTTAAAAAATGCAAAGCAAAAGCGAAGACATTGAATGAAACAAGAAAAGCGAAATAATATAGCTTTGCACAACTTCATGTTTCTCAGTTACTTGTATAGTTTTGAAGTATATTGAAGGCTTCCAACTCTATATACACCCTTCAGATTTGTTTTAGTAAAACCTGACCTCCTAAACTCTTAAGAACAAATGTGTTGTGTTGCACAGGAAGCAATTATTGCACTAGTTTGTATAAAACAGAAAAGCAGATTTGAAATGTCTAAATCCTTGGTTTAAGGAATGTATTATCGCTCTAAAATGCTTTATTGCTCTTTCTTTTAATTATGATACTGATAAGTTTTCACAAATTGCTATTTTGCTTTCTTTATGCATGTACGCAAAAGGATTTTGTCATTCAGGAGGCTTTAGAAGAACATGATAAAGATGGTGATGGATTTGTTAGCCTGGAAGAATTCCTTGGTGATTACAGAAGAGACCCAAGTAAGAAAAAAGGAGAGGAGAAGAAGGAACTGAACAAAAGCTTTTAGAATGGGATGAATTGTATGCACATTTGTTTTCAACTTTTAACATCTCCACCTGCAGGTTCTGAGTAACATCCTATGTTTTAAAATAACTCAGTTTGCTGTTACTGTGCATAGCAGGTCATTTCTTCAGTCTGCTCTGTATATATTTGACAACAGTTTTTGTATAGCCCATTTCACTGTTTCTTTGTGAGTTACTTTTCTTGATTGCTTTCTCAAAGACTGGAGTATACGCCTCGTCACTAGGTATCTGGCTGAAATAAGCTGCAGTTTTATTAACTGAACACATCTGGGAAACTAGCCAGCGTGAAAGGAAGGTTAACCTTTCACGATCTTTATCAGCTGAAGAAGGCTGCTGTCAGCCTTGCTTTAGAAGGATTAATGCTGTGTGTGTTTTGAGAAAGGTGGAGGAGAAACGTAAGGAGTCCCTCACTGTACCAGATAGCAAAAGTTCATTTCCTTTCACTTTTTGTGTGGTTTTTTTTCATTTATGCACTTCCTTAAACTTGCTCTATTCCTGCTTTAATAGGAAAAAGGACAAGTGTCCTGGTTTTATCAGTACTTTTCACTAGCTATGTTATTAATACATAAATACTTTAGCCACACTATATGATTTGCTACAGAATAAGGCAAATAACTCCTTTAGTTCCAAAAAGACCAGTAGCTTGATGCATGTGGAAAGTCTGCCTGGGTAGAAGGAGTGCTACTTCTTACATGTGGACCAGCATCCTGGCTGGGGTTTAAGCCACATGAAGGTATGGAGAAATGAGGAACTAGGCAGTTTTTCTTTCACTCCAATCAACCACTTAAAATCCCACCTTTTACTGCCATGTTCCTTAGCCAAAGCCAGAAAAAGCAATAGTTCTTTAGACAGAGCTGCAGGATTGTTTAACTTTTTTCCTGCACTGTCTTGGAAAAAGGTTTTCCAGCCCAGGCTATCTGAAGTTGTTAGAAAAGAGGGAAATAATTCCTAGGCTTCTTGCAGCAATAGAGGAGATAATGTTGTCATTAAAACATTTTAGAAAGGACTCAGAATTGCCTGTAATTCTATAAGCCACTTTTAACTTTTTCTAGATGGCCCTATCTTATGCAGTCATGTTCCTGTAGAATGTACTAAAATGACTGATATAAACTGCATAGTGGGTCTGGTTTTGTAAGTGTTCTTGAGTTTTTGAGCAGCAGCGTATGGTGAGTTGTGACATTAAGGATAATAAGGATAAACTGGATGTTAAAGGAGAGAGACTTCATTCTTTCTCTTCCTTTATAATAGAAACCTAATTATTTTTAAACTGATATTTGTCTGCCTGTGATGTCAACTACTTTAGCCTTTCATGAAGTTTAGGAAGTCTTAATCTCCGTTATTGCTTGTTTATCAGTGGTGAGAAGTCAGTTTGATGAATGGCTTGTAAAGCTCTTGAAGAGTTAGACAAGTTTAAGAGAGTTGCTGTCTTGCTGGCTAGGTTGCAGGATATGATACCAGTATAGAGGGTAAGTATAAAGCAGGAATACAAATTAAAAAAAAAAGTTGTAAATGAAACTGCTTTGAGAATAGCTATATCCCAGGTATTTCAGAAAAGGAACAAAATTTGACGGTAACATGAAAGCCTGCGATATTGGCCTGAATCTTTTGAGCCTATGCTAATTGCGAGATTTGCCCTCTCTGTTAACTGTCACAAATGGCAAATATAAAATATCCTTATCATACACGCCACATTTTCCTACTCATATGTCAGCTTTCCCAACAAGTGGGAAACTATCCATTTGGCAGAGTGTTCTGTATGCTTTCTCCACTATCAAGCTGGCTAATTTGGAGGTGTTAACAGCTCAGGTGATGGTAACCCTTGGCTTTAATGTTCCCTTAGTTCAACTGCAAATTTACAATCTTAATATTATGTTAGCTTTACATTCTAGTTTAATCTATACAGTTATCTTTTTCTTCATATGTAGACAGATGTTTTTATTTAATATATTGAGACTGGTCTGCAAGCCTCGTCATTTTTAGTGAAATCACTTTTATGTTCTCTCAAATTAAATCAAGTAAATTTGCTTAGGAGGAAATGTGAAAACAGTGGGTTTTCTTTTTAAGGTAAAGAATAGCTTTAAGCTTGACAAATGTTTCTTGTTAGCTGCAAGGGAAGATCCAGAATGGATACTTGTTGAGAAGGATCGATTCGTGAATGACTATGACAAAGATAACGATGGAAGACTCAACCCTCAAGAGCTTTTGTCTTGGATAGTACCGAATAATCAGGGTATTGCACAGGAGGAGGTACGTGTTCTGACTAGTTTAATAATTACTGTTTAGATTTAAATTAATTCAGTAGAATTCTGAAGTTATCACGACATATAGTGATAAATACATTCTAATTTCTCACATCTTAGTAGTGGAAAAAGTGCGTAGCTCTTAGCATGTATTTTAAACTTTTTTTCAGTTTGACAAAGAGTGCAGGTCCTTAAACTGCATAAAGCAAATTTAAAATTCCTATTAATTGTATGAATGTTTGTAAAAATATAAATTAACGCAGTACTATTCTACTTGTTTGAACAGTTTATCTGGTTTGACTTAAAAGTACAATATTTTAAACAGTTATTTTAAAGTTACCATAGGTAAATCTAATGAAGTATACTAGTAAGGAGGCTGTTTACATACTAACAGCACAATTTTGAAAACAAAAAAATCGATCATGCTACTTCTAACTCGATAAATTGCTATAATCTGTAGATATAAAACTTGTATTTGCATAAATACAAGAAAATTAAAGTATTCCACAATTCACGATGCAGTAATGCAAACTTTAAAACGATGATAATAATTAAAATGGTTTAATCAGGGACAGAATGCGGTAATGGGTTTAAGTGGATTCTCATTTTAGCTGTTTTTCCCCCCCCCCCCCCCAGGCATTGGAAGCACTTAGTGTTTCAGAGCAACCTATTTGAGTAATCAGACTTTATGGTAGCCGACTGCTGTAGAGAGGATTTCTGCCTTTCTGCTAATAACTTTTTGTCTTAATTAGTGCAAATCTGTTTCCTTTGACTGCACTGAAGGATTTCAGTGCTCAGAAGGGCAGGAACAATATGTCTTCCTGCACCTCCGTAATTACTCTTGACAGTCAGGGGACAGTTTGGGTTAAGCAGCACGGCCCGTCTTCTGTGCTGGGAACGTCTCATTACCGAAGTCCCACCTATTACTATTTCAGCTTTGTTGATTACAGAAAAAGCAACTTGGCTGGGACCCAGCCTTCGGTGTTCGCATATCTAACCTCACAGAGAGCTAAGCTGCAAAATTGCTCTGGTAGTATTTTTGCAAATGTGGATCTTTAAGTCTTTGCACATTTTATTTTATTCTTTTTGAACATATTGGACTCTTGAAGGTGGTTGATTCTTATTTCCTAGAAGCAGTACTGTTGTATAGCGACTCAACACCGCAGAGAATTCATGTGTGTTATTTTGTTTGGTTGGGTTTTTTAGCAATTCTTTGCTATTTATTCAGTTTATGGCTTACGACAAGGCCACGGTACTGTAATAGTTCTGTTCTGCAAGAAATAATTTTGTTTTTATTTCTCTAATGTGCTATTTTTCATCTATTAATGAAAGAGCCTAGCAAAGTCACCTATCCTAAAGAGGAGGTGGCATTGATTGAGTTGTAAGTTGCTGTTTGAAAGCCAGATATTGCAGTTTCATCTGGCAGTCAAAAAAGACTTGAGAAATCTGGTGGCTAAATAACATAGAACAACAGAAAAAATACTTTACATTAATTTTCCAGGAACTGATATGTATTTACCAAGCTGTTTATTTTAATATTGTATAAGCTTTTGCCCTGCAAAGTGTTTTTAAAATTTAGTTGTCTGACCTCACTACTATTTTGTTTAGCCTTCTTTGGTGATATAGTCAGCTCAAATATAAATAATATTTAACTAAAAAAAATAGTCACTAGGCAGTCACATTGAGACAAAGCAGTCAGTAAAAGTAGGGACAGGAGGAGTCTCTAAATCATTGTATTTGTAGATACTTAGCAAATAAAAATGAAAGCCATGTAATACTATGAACTTCTCCGAAGTAATGAGTACGATAATGCTGCTGTACTAGCTTGTTAGCTTTGAGCCACATAATACAAGTTTTAAATAAGCCACCTAAGGAAATTTTCTCTAATTGTTTTTTTGTAATTGCTGAACTTTGTCCTTTTATAATTAACAAATAAATAAGAAAAAAATTGAGAATTTTTAAACTTGCAGTTTCATTTGACACTGTCATGTTTAGGCATTTTTAAAGAATTGAGAAAAATAAGCTTTTGCTTTTAGAAATGAGGGGAAACTTGAACTGCTCTGCCTCTCCTGACAAGCGTAGGGTAAATACGTGACTGAGAGCGAACGGGTGGGCTCTTGGGAAGGAGGGTGTTCAGCGTGGAGGCTGCGTAGGCTCCGATCCTCGCTGAGGTCCCACGCGTTAAGGAGTTGCGATTGCAGCGGACGTTCGGGGCTGAGTGTTCAGAGCAGCCCTCTGCGAACACAGGCGCTGTAGCTGGCAGGCTAAGCTTGCTTTTCCCCCAGATCAGACACTAAAGAGGAGTACTGCACTGACCGGGGGATTACAAGGACAACTGGTACTTCCAGAAAGATGATGAATCTTCACTACACAGAGATTTGTTTTAATACTGTCTTCTGCCCTCAAAATAAAGCTAAAGGGTTTGACATTGATTTGTTGCTTTTTAATTGATTGCGAGGGTAGAGATTTGATTTTATGACTTTGCCACCAAATGAAAAAAGGGCAGGGAAACAAACTAAGGAAAAAAAAGACTCCGTTCTGAATATAAAATCTTGCCTAGCTTGTTAAAAATTGTGGTGTGGTGGCAGGACTCTGACAAAGCCAATCCAAAAGCTTATGTATAAACACTAGTATCTATTAACTGTGCAACATGATGTCTGTTTATTTTAAAGGCTGCTCACCTTATTGAAGAAATGGATTTGAATGATGATAAAAAGCTTTCTGAAGCAGAAATTCTGAAGAACCAGGATTTGTTTCTTAACAGTGAGGCAACAGATTATGGCAGGCAGCTTCATGATGAACGTTTCTACCATGAAGAACTTTAGATTATTTATTTTATAATCTATATTTCTTCCCTTTCTTTCATTTGGAGCTTTTGTTAACAAGCACCCACTTTTCAGCTATGTTGCAAGTTTTATGCTGTAATTATAATAGACTAACGTTTGTGTAAATATTTTGCATTCAAAATGTAATTGCCCTCCTGCAGACTTCCCTGGGCTTCTTCAAAATTAATCTGAAATATTTACTACCAAAATTATATAGTTTTGGGAAAGAAATTACTTAAAGTGTAGTACTGTATTGTGAAGAGTTATGCTACTGTACTTGAAAAAATGGGGAGTCCACGTGATTCTGAAAGAATGCAAAACATACTTAGTAACTGAGAGACTCTTTTTTTTAAATCTGTTTAACTGGGGAGGAGGGTTGGGAGGAATGTTTAGAGTCAGTATTAGCTGTATTTTATTTAATGCATTTGGAGAAACACCTAGATGAATGCCTCAAATGTTTAAGAGGTTTCTACTTAATTTTAAACGGTTTCTACAATGAGTTTTATTGTATTATAAAAAACATGCTATTTTTACATCTACAGGCAATAATTTTTTTAATGTACAATTCTGAGCATTAGCAATACAGTGTCAAAGCCCTCTTCATTTGTTGGATTAAAACAGTTAAATAGTCTGTCTTTTTGTATTTTCTACACTTATTCCTTATTGTGGGTCATCCTTAGCAATACATCGAAATGTGAGCAGTGTACAGTAGCATATTTACTTGGGAATCACTTCTAAATGATGATTGGAGTACTTAATGGCATCTCAGGTATGCCACAAGAATGGAATAATGTGTATCCTTTGGCAACGTTCTTAGCTTTTGTAGACTGAACGCATATCGTCTGATCTAGGTGCGAAAGGAGATTCAAAAAAGGTGAGATTGCATTTAGCTTTTCTGAACCACAGTTTTTAAAGTGGAATGTGTGTGTGGTTTTTTTTTTTTTTAATTTGGGATGAGTGGAACTCTAAAGCATCAAGACATTACACAACATTTGTAGTAATAACCTCTAAAAGTTAACTTCAGTTGAAAGCTTCACAATTGTCTTTCATAAAAGTGAGCGCTTTCCAACTATGTGATTATTTGAAATAATTTGAAAGGTTGATGGTGAGACAGATTTGACTTTGCAAAGTACATATTTTCACTTTTTATCTGGTAGAAAGTCACTGTAATGAGCTGAATATTCCAAACAAATGCAGAGCCTCACAGGACAGAGCATCTAGAAGGTGTTAGAGGAGTTAAAGTTATCTAGGCACAACATAAAAACTCATAGTTTTGCAGTGTTCTTCTTACCTAATGTTTTCCTTCCTCTTAACTCTCTTGATTGACTAAAAGCAACTAGTTCTGCTTTTTTTTTTAATACCCCGTCTTAATTATTCTCAGAACAAATAGTAAATTTCCTTTCAACATGAGTGTCAAAGTGTCACCATCAGAAGGCTCCTGATTTTTGACTTGGAACGAGACTACATCTAATTTTACTGTACTTCCTAGGTATTCTTATTATCGTTTTAGAAAATCAAAATGCTTTCTCAATTTTAGAGGGTTTTTTTATTCCTATACATACTTATTTATTTAAATCTTGGAAATGTGAGTATAACTATTACCACGTGGTTACTGAGATCAACTGCAGCATAATTAAATCCAGTATGTCCAGGAATTTTAAAACAGTTCTCATCATCTTTGTTGCTTTGACATATACCCCAGGTTGCCCATTTCCTATTATTCTTTATGATATTTTGAAAGAAGTCTTAAGGACAATTTTAAATGCATTGTTCATTGTTAAAACTTTCATCATCAACTTCAAAAATCGACTACCAAAACAAGGAGAAAAGAGGGGGAAGGATGCCTTTAGCAAGATGATTTTTTGCTCTTTGGCTCAGCTCTGAGTAGTTTGCTGGCTTGCAATAATTTGCATAAACCAAAAATGAGGAGAGGTTATGGCAAGACCAGGAGGCTACCAAACAACATGGAACTTAACACAATTCACATGTCAGAGTCCCTCAAAGATCAAATGTTTTCTCCTTTTAAACAAATCATGTTAGGTATTACTTACATTTTAGCCTGCTGTAAGATAGATATAGAACTACAACTGTCATCACTTTGCGGCTCTTAATGTAATTTTACTGGAGTAGAAAACCGTAGTGCTTCAAAGGGAAACAATATAATACTTGTTAATGTAGCTGAAATGTGGATTTGGGAAGTGCTCAACTCAATCTTTTAATAAGGGCGTTTCCTGTTCAAGGTTTCTGTATTTCCTAGAGTGAATTCATTGGAGACGTCTTTTGACTTCTGAAAATGTTTTTAAAATTAGGCTTCTTTTACTTTAGGCTTAAAAGCA